TAAGTGACAATTATTTTACATTGGCTACTACTAGAAATTACTAACATGAGCATCAATGCATGAATGTTGGTCCAGTTACAAAAAAGTCTTACGTATATTAAAGACCTGAAATGAATTGCTACTGTATGGGTAAGGGTGTGCCATGCCACAAATCACATTTAGAAAATGTAAGAATTACTTGCTATAACATCCTGATACAGGTGAGGAGCCAGGTAGATAGGTCTTAGTCCTCTCTCCCCATACTGCTTTACTAAGGGTTCTTTTTGTATTTCTTGTCATGTTTCAATGTATCTTGCTTTAACCTTTTAGAAAAGAAATACAAACAACAACAGAAAAGCACAAGGTTGCAAACTAAGAACTCAATATTTTTATGTTATTTTTGTTATTTCACCTACAGACACAACTAAGAAAACTTAGATATAAATTATATGATTACTAAAACTTGTCAATTATAATACCAACTGTAAAATGATTATTAATGTCATTATATACAAACAGCTTCAAAAGAAGTTAACAGAAAGACTAAACCCAAGATGCAAGGAATTGACCCATCAATTGCACTCTTAGGCATTTATCCCAGAGAAACAGAAACTTACATTCTTGCGAACACCCGTGCATGAATGCTCATAGAAACTTTATTTCTAATAGCCAACTACTGGAACAACCCAGATATCCTTCAGTGAATGAAGAGTTGTACAAATCCTGTTATAACCAAACAAAGGAATATAACTCAGCAATAAAAAGGAATGAGGTATTAATACATGGAACAACTTGGTTGGACCTCAAAGGCATTATGCTCAGTTTAAAAAAAAAAAGTAAAGCTCAAAAGGTCAAAAGGTGACAACTATGCGATTCCATTCATATAACGTTTTTGAAATGATATAATTATAGAGATGGAAAATAGATTATTGCCAGGTGACAGGAACCAGGGTAGCACGGGAGGTAACACAAAGGAGTTCTTTTGTGGTGATGAAAGGTTCTCTATGTTGGTTGTGGTATTATGACACAAGTCTGTATATGGAATAAAACTGTACATATGTGTACACACACAAATGAATGCAGGTTGAAAAAATCATGAAAACTCAATAAGGGCTATAGACTAGTTCATGGCAACATACCAAGGTCAGTTTCCTTGTTTGATACTGTACCATGGCTATTTTTTTAAAAGATCTATTTATTTATTTATTTTAGAGAGAGAGCAATAGCAGGGGGAGGGGCAGAGAGATAGAAAGAGACAGAGAGAATCTTAAATAGAGTCCACAGTGAGTGTGGAGCCTGACGCAGGTCTCGATCCCACGACCCTGAGATCACAGACCTGAGCCAAAATCCAGAGTCAGATGCTTAACCAGCTGAGCCACCCAGGTGCCCCATACCACAGCTGTTTGAAATGTCACCATCAAGTGACATTGGTGAGTGAAGGGTACCCAGGACTCTACTATTTTTGCAGCATCTCATGCGTCTATATTGATTTCAAAATAAAAAGATTTTTTTAAATCACTATAGCACAATTATAAAACACTATTAAACATTTAAAAATGGAAATATCCCTCACACAACTGGCATTTAAAGCAACCTTCTTTTCAGAGGCTTACTTCTAAGTCTTCAGTTTGAAGTGATGATTTTTTTTATTTTAATTCACACATGCAGTTATGTCAGTTCAACAAATATGGGTCTGTGAACATGAAAGCTTAAACTTTGATCCTCCACACTCCATTTTCTTCTTCTTCAAATGCCCTTTATTTGACCAGGAGGGATGTCATTTCCAAAGGTACTGAGAGAGCCACATTTAACTTGAACAACATTGTTCTTTGGGGTTATTAAGGATGTTCAATTTTCTCTGTTGGTTGCTACCCTGATTTGGAGACTCTTCTAAAATGTCAGACTGAGAAAACTGTACTGGTTCCAACACAATTTAAAACAAAACAAAACAAAACAAAAAGACCTTGGAATTAATGCAATCAATAATTACCTTTGAAAACATACTTAAAAGGTAACAGTTGAATGCTAAGATGTATAAATCTATCTGTCTTTCTTTCTTTGAATATCAATGTGGCCAAGAAATTGAGAAACACAATAGAGAGTTCAATTCAAAAGCACTTATTGACTACCTGAATCATAATCACAATGCCTTTTAAGGATCTGCATGTTTTGCAGAGCAGTGCAGGTTATAATGATGACAGAGTCCACACTGCCTAAGAGATCCCTAGTATTGACAAATGCTCCCAATTTACGCTGGCATACTGAGGGAGAAGAAGCAAAGCACTGTGTCATACCAATAGCCAGAAAACCAAAAATCCAATAGAGTTAAAGGAAGAAATTGCTTAGCCAGCTCAGCTGAAAATAGGGTTGGTCTCTGGAGAAAGGCATCAGGGTCAGGACAAAAGTCACAAATCTACGGAAAACAAAATCCTACAGACACAAATTTGTAGGAATGCCACCATATCAAATAAGTAAAATGCACAAGAATTTGAAATTCCACATAAATCCTGTATGGAGAATACAGATTTTTTTTCCTCTTTTTTCCATGAATGACTTGGGATACAAGTGGATAAAAGAAAGTTTTAAGATACTATTGCTCTGGTGTGGATAAAATTTGGCATTTTCACAAAATAGCTTATCTGGAGGAGATGATATCGTGACACAAATGTGTGCTCAAGTTAAAAGCCACCAGATTCCTCAATTTTGTTCTTAATGTTTTTTGTTTTGTTTCGTTCTGTTGTTGGAAAATAAGTTGTAAAATTAATGGATACTAAACCATTCTCTAAATACCTTTGTAAAGTAAGGCCAATTATATTTTACTGCACTTTTTGATTTGGAGTACTTAATATGCCAACTTTCTATTGTTGATCATGTTAATTCTATCTTATTAAAGCCAACATTAAACTACAAGGAAAAGTAAAAATCAAAAGGATATTACTTTGAATGCATAAAAAGTAAGGTGATTAATGGATAGATTGAAGGATGGGCAGATATATGAAAAAGCAAGTATAGGAAAATGTTAAATGATAATCTAGGAGTGAGGCTATGGGTATATATTATAACAGTCTTTCAACTTTTCTGTATGTTTAAAAACTTCTTACAATTTTGGAAATAAAATCAAAAGAACAACCAGAATTTTCAGTGCCTAAATAAATAAATAAATAAATAGCCTTGTTTTCTGAAACAATGTATTAAGGGCTTAGTCAGTATACATCGTTAAAGTAAGAGAATGTTACAAAAAACAAAGCCTTGCATTAAAAACCTCAAAGGTGTTGAAAGACAATTACCATACGATTTCACTCATAAGGGGAATCTAAAAAAACAAGTGAATAAGCAAACAAAAAGCAGAATCAGACCTCTAAATAGAACAAACTGATGGTTGCCAGAAGGAAAGGAGTGATGGACAAAGTGGGTGAAGGGAAATGGGAGATATAGGCTTCCAGTTATCGAATAAATAAGCTACAGAGATGGAAGGTACAGCATAGGGAATATAGTCAATAGTATTATAATAGTGTTGTATGGGGACAGATGGTAGCTACATTAGTGGTGAGTGCAGCATAAGGTGTAGAGAAGTTGAATCACTATGTTGAAACTAATGTAAATTGTGTATCAACTATACTCAAGTTAAAAAGCTAAAAACAAATTCACATGTGGTTTCTAGGTAAAGAATATAATGACAGGGCGCCTGGGTGGCTCAGTCGTTGAGCGTCTTGCCTTCGGCTCAGGTCATGATCCCAGGGTTCTGGGATCGAGTCCCACATCGGGCTCCTTGCTCGGCAGGAAGCCTGCTTCTCCCTCTCCCACTCCCCCTGCTTGTGTTCCTGCTCTCGCTATCTCTCTCTCTGTCAAATAAAAAAAAAAAAAAAAAAAAAGAATATAATGACAGAGATTGGCTCTAGTAGTGGAAAGTACCTATTTATGCAGAACTACCTTTCATTGTCTCACCTTTACATTGATGTTATGCTTCGTCAGTATCGACATGTTCTTGACATGGAAATGCTCCCTACGTGCCCTCCCTGCGTGCCCAGGTCGGTCTGATAAGACTGTGACTCTCCGACACATCCAAATGATACAAGTTAGGCTTGTTCTCAGGTCTGGAACACAAGAACAGCAACATATGGTTACTTGACTAAGACACCAAAATTACATGGCACTAACCAGATAAATACAATAGTAATTTTGTGTCTAGTCATAAAAAGAACTTTCTGTATTTTCTTCCATTGTTGGTCCATGCTGTTTTAAATACTCTTTCCTCTTGAAGTCAAATTAGAATTTTCAATGAGTCCAAAAAATATTTTATTGGCTTAGAATTGATTAACTTAGAAGCACCTCAGCTTTTCTTATTCAAGGCAAATGCCACTTCATTGTCGGTTGATTAGTAGCTCCTGTGAAGTACTACAAGGATTTCTCCTTACATTCAACCCTGGGTCCATTTTCCACAAAGTTCCCAGACCTGCAAAGCTTCAAATGCCTGAAGACATTCTCTCGGCAGTTCCCATTGCTTCTAAGCAGGCCTGGGTCTTAGAAATGCCAGACAAGTTGATACTGATTCTTTTTAATAAGTTACATACAAAGGCAGTAGATCTGCCAGCCTCGTTTAGAAACGGGGTCAAATAACCAATTGGAAAACTTTCGAAAGGTGTCACATCAAACTTTAATCATGCCTACATTTTTATGGAGCTTTTAACTTTGCAAATTGCTTTCACGTGCATTATCTCATTTCACGTGCTACGGCACTGCAACAGCGTCCAGGTTTTAGGGCTGGGTTACAATGACACAGATATCAACATGTGGACGGGGACATCTCACGAAAACTGATTATTGCCATGTCGACCTGCCTGGCATGGAGATCGAGTATGACAAAGGGTTACGATCCTAATAGCTGCTTTGCTCCGCGGCTGCTGGCGTTTCTCAGAGCCATTTCTCCTTTTTCTTTTTCAAGGAGAAAATGGGTTACATCTTTTGTCTCCCTCCCGCCCTTCTTAGTTCTGATTTTCTTTTTCTTCTCAATCGATCGACAGGTCAGCCCGACCCCGGGGTGCATCCGAGCCCTCATGAAGATGCTGTACTGCCCGTACTGCCGAGGGCTTCCCACCGTGAGACCTTGCAAGAACTACTGCCTCAACGTCATGAAGGGCTGCCTGGCCAACCAGGCTGATCTGGACACCGAATGGAATCTGTTCATAGGTAAGGGGCGTTGCCACGGAGCCGTGACGTCATTGCGGTGACGTAGATCTCCAACGGAGCTGTGGGCCGGGTGGGCGGCTCTGACGTCGTGATGACGTACGGAGCCCGCGAGGATTACATACAACACCGGGGAACAGCTTTTAGCAAAGTGTTGACATTACTTTGCATTTTTTTCTTCTTTTTCTAAATCTAAAATAATAACAGTAAGAAGAGGAAATCGTGGTATGTTGTGAAGGACGGTCCTGTACCGAATTCGCTGATCTCTCTGACAGAGTGAAAAGTACTCTTGTTGACTTTCTGGGAGCTCCTGTGGGAAGGGACAAGTTAGGGGAAGAAAACAAAAATCTCATTAAAAAGAAATCCACAGCACTGGCTCTTACTCGTATTACCTCAACGTAGTCACAGATACTAGTAAACCACCCCTTCCTTAAACGTCCATGATGAAACTAGCTCAATATTTGTGCTAAAATATGCAAAATTTGTTCCTCATTCTGTGGAGAATGCTTCCGGCGCCCTAGCGCCGAACAGCCTTGCTGTCTTTGGAAGGTAGGAGGAGAGAGGGTGGGGAAGATGCAGCGAAGGTCTGGGGAGTCAAGGCTCTCGTCTTGAGTTGCAGAAATCGCTCAGGGACCGCACTACCAAAAGATATTTCCCAAATTGCAATCCAAGGATAAAAGGACACATTTTACAGGCAGGCTGCTCCCAGGAAAATACACAGGCCTTGAAAGAGTGTGTGTTCTCCCCCTCTGTCAAATGGCCTTCAAATCAAAGTACTTTTCGATTGCATTTACTGCACAATTGCGTGGTGACAGGCAGAGTGGCGCGGAGGCTTCCGTCAGCCGCATCATTTATGCAAACCTCCAAACCAGAAGGCACGCCTAACGCCTTCTGACATCTAAGATTCCGGTGGGAGGGGGAAAAAGATCTAGGATGTGTTGGAACGGGGCGAAACCTAAGCCCCTTGTACAAAGATGTGCTTAGGTTACAAGCCTTCGGCTTTGGCTCTGTCACCCACCGGCTAACATGCTATTATGCTTAGGAACGCCAAAGAAAATGGTTTTGAAGTTTTAAAAAAAGATTTGAGAGTGGGTAGATTCAAATGGAACTCATCGAACAAAACCCCAGAAATCATTTCAGAGAGAATGAATTGAAATGTTGTTCTCTCTCCCTGTAGTGGGAGTATAAAATCTGTTTGCATGATCTTGGGTTACTTTATTTGAAAAATGAGGAAGTGTTTTAAAAAGTTAATCATTAAAGTACCCTTCTAACTCAAACATGATATGATTCTTTGCTGAGATTTTGGACGGGAGTATGAATTAAAAAAATATATAAGAATAACTTGATCTTCTAGAACATATATTTAGATTAATTTTGGCAAAGACACTCTAGCCAAATAATGCTAATCAAAAAGTACTCTCATCAAGAAACCTAAAAATATTTGCATATTTTAAAACCAGATTAAACCTCATAGCATCCCACTTTGAGTCATACAGATTATTCATACTTTTTGGTTGAAACTACCCAAATTTATAGCACAGTTAAATTGTCTTTGCTCAGCCTGCACCTTATTGATGAAAGCGGGCATGTGGATTTTGTTACTTAGAGCAGGACATGATTAAGAATGAGATTATAGGCTTTTAACTTATAAGAGCAATGGTGACTGCCTTATTGGCTTTTTCTCCTCAGTGCTGGTTGTCTATTTTAACATAAAACAAATCTTTATACTTTCTATCAATTGGGTTTCCTGGTTGCCAATTAGATGTGAAGTTGAATGTCTGGAAAACCATTTGATTTAAAAACTAAAATTTGAACCCACCGCGTGTTGGACGTACTTTAATGAAAAGGGAACGTGGTGGTTAGCCCTCCCTTAATATATCTCATACCCTTTCTCATGTTTTTTTTATTAGTCCGTGAGAAAAATCCGACTTCTTTCTTTCTTCTGGTTCTGCTATGGCACTGAGAAGTGACCACCAACATAGACTTTTGGAGCAAAATATGTTCTTGCTAATACTTGTCCCGAAGTGAAGTGCCATAAATCAGTCAAATGTGCCAACTCTGTTTTCCACACATATGCATTCAAGATGACAGGGCTCCAGGGTTCATGAAGGCAGCAGGGAAGACCAGTGAGCAAATCAGTAACCCAACAGTAATTATATATAAAGCCCTCTCTCTGGTTGGCATCTGTAGCCCATCACTCTTGGGCTTCTACCATCTTTTCATCAACCCCCTTCCCTCCTGTTGCTGAGTCAAATGCGCCATCTCTGTCTGCTACATTCATGTCCTAGCTTATACATTTTTATGGTGTTTTTTTTTATTATGTGCTCATTAAAAATGTTAATAGTGGCATGCAATCGATGGTCAATAAAAGCAAGAATCGAACTGGTAGCACATTCTCATGATCTTTACTATGCCATAAATTAATTGCAAATGAGTTGTAATTATTTTGAATTCAGTTGTTGTTGGGTTTGTCAAAAGAAAGGCAACTCATGGACAAAATGAAATGTTTTAAGTGTTCAGCTGAACACCCCAATGGCATTCCATTCTCTTCTGAAGCTCTATAGTTTGTCAATTTTCATTTCTTTGTAATCCTAGAAAACAATCAGGAGTCTACTCGGGATGCATTTCCATAGTTTTCCTTGAGGACGTTTAATTCTGTGCCCTGCACAGAGTGGGTGTTCAAAAAATTTTTATCAACTAACTATTGTAGGAAAAAGAATTTTAGATAAAGAGCTTTTTTGGGTTTTTTGAAAAGTTACTGACAACTTTGAAGAAGTTGCTGCTAGACCCATTTTAGAGAACATGAAAGTCTCAGTTGATCTCTGCCAGAACTGTCAGCTGCTTTCTAGAAGCATGTGGGATTCCCCAGGACTGAGCCCAGCCCAGCCTCAACTTGGGGCACCCAAGCGGCTGGGCATGCTAGGCCACACCCCTGAGCTAGGTAGGACCCTGGGGACACAAGAGTGGGGTGCAGTCTGCTCTCACTACCAGGCACAATGCAGTAAGAGAACAATGTAGTTTGAGGCATTGACAGGCACTGCTTGGGCGCCTACCCCAGGTGTTGCTGTCCATTTATACTCAGCTGATTCCAGCCTAGCCTTTGAATGTTGCCTGAATGCAAAAGCATTTTCTCAGAAAATGTTTATGTAAATTAAAATTTCCTAAAGGGAAACAGTTTGTGGGCAGAATTTGTTTTCAGTAACATCCTGCGGTTATTTTGAGTGTTTGTCATTGATACCAACACTCCACAGATATGAGCTGTTCTGTTTGACAAGGGGCCATGGTGCAGATTACTCCTAGCTCAGGAGCTCAAAAGTTAAGGCTGAAATTACATTTGTGTAGCTGCAATAAATCTTGCATCTACTTTAAAATCTAGGATGTATGGGACAGCCTCCTCCAAACATCTGGTACCTTCTAAGACTTTATAGACTGTGAGAACCAGAGAGGGGAAAAAAAGGATGTGGGGAGGGAAATGCTGATGAGACCAAAGGCAGGAATTCTGTTTGTTCTGTAATATTTTTTTTCACTAAAATATTAGAGGGTGTTTACTAATGCAAGTATAAGACTACCATCGCTATCATTCCATAAAACTGAGACCTGAAGATGTTTGTGTCCCGACATTGCAGCCTAATATTTTAGGCTATCCCAGTTGGTAAGACTCTAATAATCCTAACCTATTAATTGGCAACTCACTAGGGTAAAAAAAATTTTCCCCAAGGTAAAAAATATATGTGTCTAGCTTCTTACTCAATTGAGTACGTTTTTTACCCTAGGAGAACTTAATGCAGTTAAATGAGTTATAATCAACTGTGATTTATCCCTATTTTAGGAAAATAGAAGCACAGGATGCTAAGCATCTACTGAGCAGGGTGACTTAATCTAGACTAGGGTGTCAGGGAAGCCTGGTAGATCTAGAAGAGTAAATAAGACTGTACTGAATTAGCATTGTCAGACATAATTGATGCTGGGTAGCCATAACATATAGAATTGCTGCAATACTGTAGAGGCCCCAAATATTCATGAGAGCATCAAACATGAGGTCCCCGGTGGGCACTACACCTGCGCCTGGCCAAGAGCCCCTGCTCTGGGTATCATCCATTCATCTCCTGCGATTCATGAAGACAACACGTGTTTACCGAGTGCCTGGCGCCAACCCTGTTCTGGTTTCAGCACGAGGGAGAGTGGATGAGGGCCTGCCTGCTGAGAAGAGAGCTCCCTGTATGTTCTCTGTTGAAGTCAATGAACAGCTAGACAGAGAAATGGAAGGGAGTGTCATAAGAGGCTGCTCCATTTTACTTTGTAGGTCTACTCTTTTAATGGAAGTATGACTAATTCAGTAATTTGAAGAACACATATCGCTGTTGTTAATGGACTCGTGAGTGCAGGGATGGCAGAAACAAATCAGATAATGAACCTGGTTCCTTCATGGTGATAGCTGCTGTCAAGGTGTAAATTAGAGCCAGCCGCCAGCAAGCTGTGGTAGGTCAGTCAGATGACTAGTATCGGGTAGTAAATGGCCACTTTGGGGCACAAATGACTTTCTCAGGACCTGGAAGAGTTGTTTGTCCTCAAGGTACTTAGTATATTCACCTCTTTGTGTTTGCGCGTGTTGCTAGATAAACATTTAGTGTTCCTAGTAAATAAACTTGAGTTCTCTTTTTTTAAACTACACAGGACTGTGTGATGTTGCATTTCAGCAGGATATAAAATAAACACAAAGAACTATTTCAAACATTTGTATAAGATGCTCATCTTTCAAAGACTCTCTTAAGCATGAAATTCCATAATATAAATCTGATCAATTTTTTAGTTACAAAGAATTCCATAGTAAATATGATATGACTCCAGCTGATAGATCCTGAAATGCCATGTTTTAAAAACTTCTAGACCCAAAACATGGAAAATGATTTCCTTTCAACCAAAGACAAAGAAAAATTTAAGAATTATATTTAGCAGCAAGCTTCAAGGTTTCTTAGTCTCCACCTTGTATAGGACAAGAGCCT